TATATAAACAGAGCAACTTTATCAAAGAAACACACACTGAATTCAGAGATTAATATCCTATCATTGGGTCCATCAGCATCTCTAGTATCTAAAATGTCCTTGGCCTAAGGCTATGGATTACTTTATTACCTGAAGGCATCAGTTTTGATTTAAACAGGCTGATTAAGAGACATCTCAAAGATACACTTGTGCACATTCACTATGCTGGAGAGCACAAGAGGTCTCTCGGCATATGTCAAACTATCCCCAGCATACTAAATATATTGCTAGAGTAAGCCATTAGCAATGAACTACCTATCCTATCAGTAACAAGAGTCACTTAAAGACAGCAAAGCCAATGCAAACAGATTACAGCACCAAACCCAAGTTGAGTGCTTTGTTCTAAGTTAGGCTTAACTTTGCATTTAGGAACATCAAAATTTTCCCTTCAGGATCCCTCTCAAAAGGCAACAGGGCAGTCTGACCTCAGCAGGCACATGTTCTGCCAGCTGGCTGCTCCACGTTGCAAGTAACACAGCTCGTCTCACATCTAGCTTGTTCCAGACAACACTGCATCCTTCAGTAATAGTTTTCACAGGGTAGAACCCTCAGGCAATTCAGACTCCCCCTATTGATCTCAGAGGTAATAGTGAACACTAAAGTGAATAGTGAATAAAGGCTGCAATTAAACTTTGTCAAGCTTTCTACTTCCTTTCAATCCCCTATTTATGTACTCCAGCAAGGTTGTGTGACTGAAGTCTGATTCCTCTCTTTACAAGAGAGGAGGGGAAACAATGCAGAGTAAGGTCTACATTATTTCATTCCTTACTCAAGTACTGATGACACCTGCAATTAAATCAAGTATTTTAAACAAGTCATAATGCATAAACACCTCACAACATAAACAATACTTTTAGGGAAAGGCAGTAAGTTTGTGCAGAGTAATGCTATTTGTCACAGCAAGGCAGAGATCAGTTACCTTACAGTACACATTCTTGTAAATGAGCAAAGAAAGGTGCAGATTAATTGCTGTGACCTATTTTGTATTTATTTAATTTCTACAATAAAGGATTGTAACCTCTAGACTTCATCCGTTATGTTTCTTTCGGAAGTTTTATTCTTTATTAAAACAGTTCTACTATACTAAACCAGCAGAAAGAGTTGCACTGAACCCATCGCTTCATAGCAGAAAAGTGAGAGTGGAAAATAGGTATAAATTCTGTCCAAATGACAAATCTGAGGTGTTCAGAAGGCAAGTAAAACAAGGTAAGGGGAGTATGGGGGAGTTTTCACTTTTTCTTTGATAACTTCATTCATTAGCTGCCAACCAAAGCCTCCATTCCTTGCTCAGCCTCAGAATTCATCTCCTTCCTTCCAGAATATTTAAGAAAAACATACAATGTGTATTTGTGAAAGAGACATAACAAAATAACAAAATACAGGATCGCACCACACGCATGACAATAACTCTTTACAGCTTTTCCTTCTATAGAGACAGAAAGCACAGGAAAGCCTGCACATCAGCTGCAGGCTTTTGGCAGGTTCAGCACAGAAGTACCTCAACATTTGGTGTCTTAAGTACAACACTTATTTTTTCTTCTCTCCTCTTTATGCAAAAGCGTGCACATCTAAAGACATGCATGTACCAAACATTTATCAGTCCAAATTGAACACTTTATCAGACATTCTTCTTACAAATACCAACCCATCCAGCCTTGCAAAGCACGCAAGTGGGCAGTAAGCCTGGCAAGACCCATTTTAATAACCGCATCTCAGTATACGACTTAAATGTCTGCCCACTCCTTTATATCTTAAGAACTTGTCACAATAGTAACTATCACATAGTAAATAAATCTATGAAGAAAAAAGATGCAAAGAATGTATTGCTGATGCTAACAGAGTACAAGCTAAAGAATGCTTTTTAGAAAAACAAATAATGATATAAAACAGAAAACGAAGAAGCAATAAAGCACTATTTCTCCATTTCAAAGCATTACAAGATTTTTCACCACTGCCCACAAACCAGTGCACTAATCCCTTGCAATTATTGTTCTTATTGCAGGTGGAAACCATAAACAGAGATGGTGAAGCAGCCTTTGCAGAGCAAGTATCCTTCTACTTCAGGCATTCTGTTGCTTTAACTCTGTCACTAATGCCCCATGCAGTAGGACTTCACCATGGTAATTCAGCAGACATGTGGTACATGAAACATAGGCTGGCTCAAGACCCACCTGCAGAGAACAGGAAGGTAGTCACTCAACTCTTGAAGAAGCTCCTCAAGATAGTGATGCAATTCTGTCCAGTTAGGGTGCTTAGGCTAAGTCACCACTGGGGTCCAATGGCTTTGGGGACTACTCATGTTTTCAGAATAGGTCAGGCAGACCAATGCCAAGCACTAAGGATGTATTATAAAATTAGGGGCTATATTTTGTATTATTTATTATTAGTAGTACACAATTACTCAATTTACTAATGCATTATCATTGTTACTGGGAAAAGAACTCCACTAGGACTAGAAATTACAGCAAAATATTAGAGAAAACAAGTGTAAAAGCCTCAGCTAATAAGAGTCAGAATACTAGCAGTGCTGTTCAAAAGCCTTTGGTAAGTGCCCTCTCATGCTAAGCAACCAGCTAAACTGACTGCAGAGAAAGCCACTTTCCCAGCTTGTGCCTAGAATTCACACAGAAAGTCACACAAAAGCAATAGACAACAGTAAAGCCCAAGTTCTCTCAGATGTGTTGGCCTGTATGCTTGTTACATAAAAATACAATCTATCGTGTATTACATTAATTTTGACTGAATACAGAAAGTAAACTCTGTGTAAACCCAATAATGGATATAAAGTAAGATCTGTATCGTGAGATACTATTCTGCAGAGAGGTTTGAGAACCCAGGAACTAACCCCACTTTCATTCAGTTCTAGCTCCGACTCATGCACCACTTTGAACAATTCACTCTCATCTCAAAACTTCAGGTTTTTTAGGCTGTGCAGTGATATAGGCTGCTTTCCCATTCCTCACAAGCATGTGTTTATGTGTGGAAATGGCCTTAAAAATGACAAGTGCATTTACCAAAACCAATTTAAATGTATGAAACAAACTGAAGGTACAGACAGTGTATCACAGTATTGGCATTTCTAAAGTTTCAACAGCACTTAAATAATGTTCCACGATATCGCACAAAAGAATCTAAGTAATTTTCAAGACAGCATAAAGCAATAATATTTGCAGGCAGTTTAAGGCAAGTTAATACCCACCTTCCATTGGAAACACTAAGTCTGCTTGCCTAATTGCTCCAGGGGCCTTTGAAAATCCCAGCAAAAATGAACAATAAGCAGTAAATCAACCCTTTCAAATGAAAGCAACATCCTCCCCTCCGCTATCATAAGGTATTCCACAAAAATGCATTTCACTTACACAAACAGGTATTACACCATAACGGGTCAGAGACTGAGGTATGCAAGAGTGATTAATAGTATTAATTTTTCAGAAATGTTAATATCTTTTATTATATTCTGTAATATGAATGGGGAAAGGGAGGATCATTACTGTATTTCCCATTTATATGCCCATATTATTAGCATTTGTCAAAGTGGGTAGCATTCCTCAGATTTTCCATTTCTCTACCCTGCAGAAAAATACCCAAGGACATAGGAGCGCTCCTCCCATACCCTATGAAAATGCCCTGCTGCCATTATAAAAGTCTAACTTGGTAGATGCTAAAACAGTTGAAATCAGATTTGACAGCATCAGTACAAGAGCCTATTATTTTTGTAAAATGAAGTATTAGTAAAAAAAAAAAACAAAAAACACCAAAAATCAGGAAAAGAAGCTTTTAACAGGGATTGTTTTTTTCAGTACTCAGTTTCTCAACAGCTCTTTGGCAACACAGAATCAGACTCCGTTGGTCTCATCATATGTAACTTCCTAAAGAGTAACCCATATTAATTATTGTATTTCTGGTACTTGCTGACATGGGCCTCACTTGACATCGTAAGAAGTGAAAATACTACTTTACTCCTTTATATACTCCTTTACTCCTTCTTTGATATAGCCTTTCTTCCATGTTTTTCATTTTCCAGCCTAAAAATTACTTCCTTGACAGCAGGTGAAAACTTTGATTCAAATTAATAAAAGAAAGTAAAACAAACCCAAATTTCCCTGTTCAATTACAAACAGCAAGTAACAAAGGCTACTCAAGACTATTTCTTTCCAGGACAAGGCTGCCAGAAAAAAAAGACACTTTAAGAGAAAGGTAAGACATGGGAATCAAGAGAAAGCTTCTCTAGAAAAAGAAACTCACAAGGAAGAGCTAGAGAAACAGAAACTTTTTACTAAGCTGAGACTCTTGTAATACTGTATGTGGCTGCCTAAGCCAAAGAGTAAGATTTTTGGAAGTGCTCAGATGAGCTGTAAGACAACATCATTTAATGACTGCTTTTCTTGCTGAAATTAGGTTAGTCTAGCAAGTCCTAGAGGAAAACCACATCTTTTATCACTCTAAGAAAAAAAGTTTTGTATTTAAAAACATGTTGTTGTTTCCTCTTTTTCCTCATTGTGGAAACAAAACTGATTTTCCATACAAAAATTCTAAGGATAAAAGGTTCAAAGTGATTTGATGGAAACAGACCTACATTTTAAAAGCGGCATGAAAAAATATAAGGGGAATGAGGGAAGAAGTATTAGATACTCATTCAAAGACTGAAAATTAAATTCACACAACAATTCCCATCCATTCCTTCAAAGTAAAGCTGAGCTTTAGTCTCAGATATTTTCTTTTCAAAGAAAGTATAAATGTGAAAACAACAAAGGAATTCGTCACTGGACTGCATTCTATAGGACTAAAGTAAAAGACATTACATTGTTATTAAAAAGTCGGCATATCTGTGATAGTAATTCCTTTATATGACTAGTTCTATCCAATCTAGATCAACAACATATTTTCATCAGTAAAGTTACAGTCAGGCATACTCTTCTGTTCACATGTCAGAGTTCTGCCAGAAAAAGGTATAAACTTACCTTGTCTTGGTTTTCCTTATTTTTGTAACACAAATTTCCAATCAAACGAATGAGATGAGATTTAAAATCCACAGCTGGATGCAAAACTTCTTCCTGCCCTGTCATAGCATGTGTGACAGTAAATACATTTACAGTCTGTTTCCCAGCAAGATGAGTTAATCTCAGGGTATCTACAGAAAACAAGAATATTTAAATTATTTACCACATGGAAATTAGTATCACTTTGCACAAAACTTTACTACTAATTGTTAGGTTCAAAGTCAATCAACAGAATTTGAGATATTCAGCAATTATGTCAAAAGAACTTTGAAAATAATTTGTGCTAGCATAACCATAAAAAGCCATCTCAAGGTCAGAAGGTGGTTTTGCATCCTTTTCACATATCTACACAGTTCAGACAGGAAGTCTGAAGGCTGGTGCTATCGGTCTCTACTTGAAGAGTTAGAATTTGCAGGCTGTTGGTTCTGGCACCATAAATAAATTGCTAAACTCAAGGCTTTTTTAGAAAACTTCACTTAGCTAAAGCTTGTCACAACAACACATCCTAATCACAAAATTACTTTTTTTCTCTCTTTTCCAACCCATCCTAGCTCTGTAGCATGAGAGGATTTTGAGTACAGATAGCACCCTGACACACCTTAACAAATCCTTCAGTGCCGTAATCTTGTCAACCAAGACATACTGATGTCCTGTATAGCAAATGCTAGTGTATAGCAACTAGGATTTTTTTTCTACAATGCTCCAGGGAGAAATCAGAGAGAAAGCAAACTAAAATCTGTGAAAACAACATCCGACAAAGAGACCACACCTAGAAGAAAAGCCGAAATCATGTGAACACCTGAGAGCTCATACAGCTGAGAAGCAAATTCACTAAAGTCTGCGCCGATATTTCAGAATTAAGAAGTATTTCCCCTCTAAGTGACCTGCAATAATAAAAAAAATGCCCTGTTATGCCACTGTCCTCAGGATTCCTCATGCAATTTACATGAGGATAACAAAGACATAGCAACACCAGGTTATAGAATAGGGTGATAATTAACCCCTATACTCATTCTGTTCTAGATGTGGCAACATCCATAGCAGAATGAGCACTAGATTTCCTGGATATAAATTAGAAGAACCATCATTTATAGTTTCACACCCAAATGGTTAATACAGGGAAGAAAAAAAAAATCTCTGTGCTGATAAAGAGGTAACTACATTTTGGTAGTTTTTTTTTAAATATGAAACTATACTAGGGCCTAGAGGCCTCCTATATGACAGCTACCACTTAACAGTTGTTCATATTCTGAAATAGGAAAAAACAAAACAAACAACACTCTCCTGATTGACCCTAAATATGTTATCATAAAAACCGCTTTTAACAATCCCTTCTTTCACAGAAATTCATCTGGTTTTGTAAATTCATGATATTTGTCAGTCTTGCATCCTTTTCGTGGCATTTCACTTTGTGTGCTGCCTTGCCTTAAGTCTTGGTACTTCCCCACACACAACACATAAGAGGTCTTCCTAAATCTTCTGCCTGTCCTGAAGAGCAAACCCTGATGAAAAAGATTTAAACCAAAAACCAAAATCAAACAAAAACCCCATGAAAAAATTAAGTATAGCTCTTCAAATTTTATTACAGTGCAGACTAAAATGCAACGAGCAGTGCACCTACCTGGAAAGAGAAGTACAGGAAAAGGTGGAAGAAAAACAGCCACCTTCCATGTACAATGCCAACCCAGAGACAACAGTGCTCCTCTTAAACATTGCACATCAACACGATACAGCAACTGCTCCTGGGATGTCACCCATACTCTCAACTAAAGGACACTTCAGTCTGCCATTCCCTCATCCCAAAGAGCAGTTCTTCCAAAATGCCCCTCAACCCTAAAGACCATTTATGTCCCTGGTGATATTCCTCAAACACTGTGCAATCAAGCTGTTAACAGTCCTAAAGGTATTGTTAATACTGAAGCATTAGGGTCTAATGTAATCCAACAATTACTGGAAATAGCAAAACACACTCCTCAGCTGATGCTTAAAAGATTATTCAGGTATTTTTCAGATCTTTCAATCACGCTTTTGCTAACTTCTAACAGGAAACTTTTCATCATATAAACTGAAGAACTTATCAAAAAATCTGTTAGATGAAAATCTTTAGCACTGTTTATCCTTATTATGTGATATAACACATTAATACAGCTTCTTTCCATTTCTGCTAATACAGAATTTAAGCAGTCTTGTAGCCAAAAGTAGCATTAAACAAACTATGCAAGTACATAAATTATTGTTGGCTGAGGGCATGTGAGCAATAAAAAGGATGCACATGGTAGCAATGTTCTAGCCTGCACTCATTTCATTAGCCTGGAGACAGCTGTGCAGAAAAGTCAGGCTGTGCACAGCTAGAGACAGGACAACTTGTGTGTAAACTTCTAAACTTAACTGAACTGCAGCTCCCTAAAATTCTCATTTAAGTTTAGTTATACAAGCATTCAGATGATACAACACGTACCTTTCGGTTTCCTCAAAATATACACACAAGCACAAAATAGATCTTGTTGTTAGTCATCTTACTGTAAGGAATAAAAATATAAAACTGCCATCAAAAATAGGTTTGGCATAATTTTGGTGGTGGTTTTTCTTTTTTTGTGCGTTGGTTGTTGTTGGGTTTGTTTCAGATATTTGGTGTGTGGGCTTTTTTTCAGCAAAGCACCTCTGAAAATCTCAAAATAGTCACAATTAACAGCTGTTCCAGCCTTTTTATTTTTCTTTTTTTTTTTTGCCAAAATATTACATATTTCTCCTTAAAATTCATAAACTTTTACAATTTTCTCAGAAAATGGTGGTAGTCTCAGAAACTGCTAAAATTTAGGAAGGCAGAGGCATACATACACTTCCTCCTCCTTCCTCCCCAAGTATATTGTTTTCTTCTGGACAATACCGGCTAATTTTCTTTGTGTACAGCCCTTTGCTGTTCCTTAGCAGAAGACAAATTGTTTCAAACTGACCTTTAAAAGTAACTGAATTTGGTTAAGAACATTCAAACTGCACTTCCTTTCAGTTTTCAGGAATTTGGCAAACAGAAGGGAACAGGCATGGAAAAGTCCTTTTTCTACCTCTTGAGGAAATTCTTCCCCATGCATTCAGCCCGCGGAAGAACACAGGAGGCAGTTGTCCTTTGCACAACTCTCACTGCATAAATAGTGCATTGCTAAAGTTGAATCAAGCCTCTGTTGGGTAACAGGAACCAACAGAGCAAGAGGAGAAGCAGAAAAATTCCAGGAGCAAATCAAATATTTGAAAATGTAGATTAATTAAATTTCCTATTTATTTATTTTATTAAAGGTCAGTATCATAATTACCACCACTTGTGAAAAACATGTTTTTATTCACAGAGCAACATGATCTGGAGCAAGCCAACTGTTCAAAAACCTTGTGGCTTTTCACTCACCTATGGCTGTTTCAAGCAAACCAGGCAAAGTCTGTAGATATTCCAGCTGTCCATTGCTCGATGTCATTTCACAAAGAACATCAAGAAGACGAATTGCAACCAGTGCTTCCTGTAAATTAATATGACATTCGTGAAAATGGCTTATGAAGGATACCAAAGGAACATAAGGAACTGGCAATCTAAACAGAGGACAGGAACTCTCAGCACCTCAGGTTCTTTGCACGTCTTCTTAACTGCCAAGAATACATTTATATAAAATGAGGATATCTTTCTAGAATAACAATAATGTATTACACTGCAATAATTTCTACAGTCAACCAAGGTTATATGTGCCCTGAAAAATCACGGGGAAGCCAAAACACAGCCATAAAGGATAAAATTTTAACAAAAACACAGTAGCTTCCAAAAGCAGAAATACAGAAAATTACTAGCTGAGAAAATTATTTCTGTATAAATGTTTTCTTTGAGTTTATTCAGTAGGAGCGTCCCACTTTAAAGACACAAATGCTGCCTGCAAGACACCAATTTGTTATCCGCAGGAATTCTGTAAAGTTCTGTGGTCACATGAACTTTGGCTGCGAGAATTTACATTATTCTTGGGTAAATAGGATTGGGATCAGAGATGCAGCATTTTGGTTAGGTATGAGACACAATTTTATTTGCATATTATTTATTTAGCCAGAGAACTATTTTTTTCTCACAGACTATATTGACATGTGCTTATAATGACATTTCAGCACTTACAGAAACTACCTGAAGAGTGTATGGCATAATTTGAAATACCACATATTGCTCAAGAACCATACTGTGACTGCAAGATGAGTCAACACAAGGTGTGGTATGTAAACTGCAAGTAGCCTTGAAAAGACTCAGACATAGGTCACAGTAACTATTCCTGTGTTGCCTGGTCCTGGACAAAGAGATATTTACTTACCAACAGTATAACATTTTTTAATTCACGTGACAATGTAACATAATTGAAATCATCAGCAATAGTGTTCAGTAATTAAGCACTATGATTATATCTATTCTTTGCTCCTTGGAGCCAACGAATCAGCACAGGGTCCAGGTCCTAAAGCTGCACTTTCATTTTTTCCCCCTCACACAGGTGTAGGATGATGCAGATCTTCCCTACATTATTCAACAAATTGCTTTTAATAGCACAAGATCAGCCAATGTACTGGTCATTGTCCTATTATAAAGTAAGGATACCCCAGCTGTATTTCAGAGACAGTAAGCTGGTATTTAACATTTTAAAAGCCATTTTGCATTGTTATAAGACAGTAGCTTAGCCATAAGCCCCTTCAGCTCATACACTTAGCATTTACCTTTGCACAAGAAAATGTTACGTGCTTTACATCTGTAAAGCAAGCATCAATAGTCAACTATAAATCACACCAGTAAGGTACAATGGCCCTTGCTGCCTATGCGCACCCCATTACCCATGTACATAATGCAAGCTCTGTAGTGGCGGACACTGAGTTGTGGCTTTTCCTTTTTCAGCCTTATCCTTTTCACCCTCTCCCATTTTTCTATTTTTTTACTTTTTCAAAATGCATTTCCTCACTGTCCTCTACATAATTCTTCCCAGAGCCTTATAATACCATCTCTCCCTTCTATCCCAACATCCGTCTCAGTTCCTCAAGTGTTCCATCTAGATTTGAGAAGACGAACGGATTGTTTAAAAATCACAAACAAACCCCCAAATTCTTATCCACATTTGAAACTTGATACTTTAAAAAAAAACCTGTTGAAACATTTCTGGATGGGCTCCCCAACACCACCCCAACTTTCCAATTTTTTTATTTTTCACCCTCCACCTGTACAAAAGAAAGGCAATAAAGCAGAACACTTTAAGTTCAGCAGCAAGACACCGTTCAAACCCCAAAATGTTTTGAAATCTGAGAGCTATCTTGATGTGGATATAATATGAAAAGTAAATAAGGAAATAACTGAAGTTTTAAAATAAACATATTCCAAGAGAGACTCAGAGTAATGTTCCTTATAAAGTGATGAAATGAGAATTTAAAATCCAGGGAAGGGTTTTATTTTGCAAGTACGGTTGAAAGTTACTGAGAGCAAAACGTTGCTGAAGTCAGGCTTATAATGGAAAAGTTATTTAAAACATTGGTTTAAGCACTGCAGAAGCATATGATTAGCTTTTTTCTGGTTTAAGATGGAAGCTGCAAGACCTGAGTCTCCTTTGGGAAAAGAAGCTATATCGACATATAATAAATTAAACAGTAGATGGGACACCCAGAAAACATTTTGGGAATCAGGCCAGTTCAAGGATTGTTCCCAAAAGGCAGTTTTCAAACGTGGCCTTGCAGTTTTGCAGTCTAAGACAGCTTACTAATACAGACACAGCCTGCCCAAGGCGCTTGGCTTCAGGGCCACAGAACAGTCCAGGCAGAGTTTAGTTTAATATCACAGATGTTGCCTACAGCATTTTTAATTACAGACTCTACATGCGTGACTGCATTTTTTTTTTTTTTTAAGCACAGCTCTTATGCAAAACCTAAGATATTTATATAATTGAGAAGTTGGTGCAATTTTTTATAAGAAAGTTAACAGCTTTATGAATTTAAGTTGGAAATGCTCTTTACCCATAGCAAATATACATTATGAATACATGTATATACACAATAGGCATACACAAACACTTTCTAATTTTGTCACTGCTCTCCATTTATTCAGCTATTGGGACTTGTAGCTTGTACTTTGTGCTCATCAAATGATCCACATTTCCCACCAAGTAGTGATACTCAACTTACCATACATCATGTTTATGTGAAAGAAGAATAAAAAGTCAGTGTCAAGCAGGGCAAGTTCTACAGTAATACCCTCAATAATACTGTCCCAGCACCTTCAAGTTGGACAGAGACCTCCTTTGGCTGGGCATAAACAAAATGTTTTTTTTCCAAGAACTGAAGCCACAGAATACTTAGAAAGTAAACGCATCAGAAAAAGAAAAAAGGGGGAGGGAGAGGGGCAGAAGGGAAGAAGAAAAGAGAAAAAAAGAGCGTACAACAGCGTGGCACAGGGAAAGCTGGAGTTGTCTCAGTATATGTCCTCCTACTGCCAAGCTCAGACCTTTTCCAGAAGCAGTCAATGAAGTTTTCTAATATAACTTAGACAAAGCAGTTGTGGTGATGGGGGGAACCTGTGCTTCTTGGACAGATAAGAAGACACAGTGTGTTGGTTGTGTTGTTGTTTGGCTTGGATATCTGGGGAAGTCTTTTATGCATCCAAATATCACTTCTTCATAAAATGATTTGTAATGTATTTCTGTAACACCTCTCAACATACATATAAAACTCTTGTGCCCATTTAAAAAAAATAACTGTCAAGCACAACACTGTGTAACATTACCATATAAAAACATTTAAAGATCAATATTTTTTCACTTTGGTAGTAAAATAGTTATGACACCCATTCTCGACAGTTTCTACAAATAAAACTATTACAGGTTAAGTTTGTTTTAACAACAAAATGCTTCTGATTACATGTATATTGGGTAACACAATCTCAACATACCGCTGTGGTCACTCGGCAAGATAGAAGTTAGAAGTGACTCTTTAAAAAAATGTATTTTAAAATATATTATTAAGAAAATGTTAATTACACTTCTGAAACTAACCATGATTAATCAATGAGAATCAGTGACTAACTAATTCTACCTTTGACAAAAACACATTAGATTTCTCAGGTTTTTTGGCTAGTTGTCTTAAAAGAAAAAAGAGCTCACCCCTAACTCAGCTGAAAACATTAAAACTTTATCTATATGAGAGGGATCAGGAATGGAGACCAATATGATCTGACACTGCCTGCTGATAATACAATGACCTAACACAGCACAAATAATGTCATTGCAAGTTAGGTGCAAGTTGCTTCCTGTTTTCCCAAGGGCATTGTTAGATCTTCAAACAACTTATTGAAAGCAAGAGTAAAAATAACACCAGATTATTTGAACAGAACTCTACCCTTAGATGGCCTAAACCTCCTTATTGCACTATATGGTATGGCAACTAGCCAGCAATTCTTGGATACTTCATAAGGCGGAAATAAAACAAGGCCATCCAGGACTGAGCTCTGCACCAGAGGTTCCCAAAGTGCAACCCACAAACCATCTGTGATCCATAAAAGCCTTCTTATTTAGCTGGCAAAGGGACTTCATTGTGGCCGTCCTCAACAGAACCAGTTCATTAAGTCTGAAGCAATAACAAATTTCTTCCATGTGGACTGGAGCTGGGGCAAGTGTCTGGGTGTTGAGGAGACAGGAGTCATCTGCCACTAAGAACTCAGCAAATTCTGCAACTTGATGCTGTGGATGCTAGCTGGTCCCAGGACTGCCACCTTGTCAGAGCCTTGCAAGATCCATGGAGCCCCGATCATTGGGAAACAGGGAAGAGCCATGAACAAAAGCCTTGCTTTCAGGGAGGATCACTACACATTTCAGACAATGCCCCTGCACTAAGCCAATCACACACACACCACAGCTCTCTACAGTTAGAACTTGATGTTCCAGGTCATAACAGAGCAGGAACATCTGCCTTACAAGTAGTCAAATGCAGTTTCTAGTATTTGGGACCTTAAGGATGCATTAATTATCAAGCTATCATCAGTTATTTAAGTTAAAACAGAACAATAACCAACCACCACATTAAAGAAAAAACCCTCCCCAAAACCCCAAACCTAAGATTCACTTACTTTAGTACTCCTAGGAAAAAACAAACAAAAAAAGCATCTACTTAATTTTTACACTGATTTGGGGGAGGGGAAGAAAGGAGAAGAGAAAAAAAAAAGGAGATGCTGTTTCTCACCTATAAATAAAATAAATATTTTAAGTCTTGATTCATATTTGAATAAAATCTAATTCACAACCCAAATAAATTATACAAGGATAGAAGGGATCCTTAGTAAGAACATAATAAAACATGCAAACATGTCACAACTCGAACATTTTTAAAATGTTGAGATCTTTAACAATGTGGTAGATTTATTTCTACCTCAAAATATTCTTTTCAAACCATATTCTTTGTCATCCTCAAACTATAAGCAAAATTGGGCTGCTGTTTATAGATTCTACTTTGAACTCCACCAGTGTTTTCACAATATAAACTGGAAATGTACACAATTGCCACTTGGGTAGTAGTGGCAATGAACACTCTAGTACTATAATGTTTTTCGTCAGACATACCTCATCATCTGCATCTTCTGCAGAAGTTAACTTGAGCACAGCTTCGTATTTCTCTTGGAAACACCCTACAAGGAAGTCAGCATGTCTCATGAACACATTCATTTCTTCACTGGTATGTAGGTTCTTCTCACATACATTCACCATCATCAGCTCTAACAAAGTAACCCTAGAGTCAGAAAACAGAAACTGGTTAATCAAATTTCCTAAGCCATAAAGAATTATCAGCAGAAATCAGCAGATACTGTTGCTAAAAAATATACAATTAGTATGCCAGTAACAGAGTTGATTTAAAAAAATTGAAAGTCTTATGAACACTGATCGATGGTTTATTTCTGCACACCATTAATTTAATTCATCATTTAATTAATACTATTTGGCCAGACAGTGAAGTCAATATTTTTTTTTCAATTTGCAGTTTCTTATGTCCTAACAGCACTGACTGCGTATTCTGTATGTCTAAAATTTCCACCAAAACAACTCTTAAAAGCTGTTAAGTTCAGCAAAATAAACACAGACTATTTGACAGCTTCCATTGAAAGTAACACTTTTCACAGCCCTTGACTTGCACGCAGTCTTCTCCCATTCTCCTCCCCGAGCCCAAACCGATCATGAGCAGAAATAGGGAAAATAAAAGTTGATATGCACAGTCTGTTCTTTACAATTGTTTTATAATTACCACTAGATGGACTACCGTAAATCCAAGTTACTTCCTCATAGACCCAGTAAGAGCTACTCAGTATATTAAACTAGCAAGTAAATGGATGCATACATAACAAAGCTGCTCTATATAATACATTCTGTCATTTATTTGGAACAGCTTTAACGTAATTTTATTTACTCCTTAATGTTGTTAGGGCAAACAGGGAGTATCTTCTGGAAGCTTGACTTTAATGTGGCAAAGGCCCTCCTATAGTTTCCCAGTTCACCTCCAGCACAGAGGAGCACATGGGTTAGTGAAGTTCCACTGTAATTCTCTCAACCTGAAAGAGCACTATTTATTGAATGAATTCAGGAGCCAGCTCAGAGTTTTCTTTCACTAAAATATTTGCAATTCAGATGGAAGGTCTGACATTTAAACATGTGGAATAGTTCAAATGCTTTTTTCTTCTTTTTTTTTAAATTTACCAAGCAGGTTTTCACAAGGGGAAGAGAAATGTCTTTTTCTGTGGAAAAAGCACGGTCACTGCTTTATTAACCTCCAAGAACCCACCCCTATTAATCACCTAACAGCTACTCAGTTCTTGCTAAACTCAACCCTCAATGTCATCAATACAGCTGCATTAAACAATTATCTGAATGAGGACAAAAAGCTTTTTCAACATGGTAGCACAGAAATACACTGAACGCATTTTTGAAAGGGTGGACTTCAGACAGAAGGCTGTCAAACACTGGTAACCTCTCTCACAGGCTTTGCTTATGTATGTGACGGAGCACTGACACAAAGCAGTTGTTCTGTTTTTTCTGCAGGTTACAACTGAGTACCACACACTTGCCCACCTACAAACTAGGAGTCCATTTATCCAACATCCCCAACTGAATGAAGTCTTTCAGATTTGGCCTCAGACTATGCAAAAATCAAACTAAGTGCACAGATGTGTCATCCATCCCCAAGACAGGGTTAGATTTTACATGTCAATTTTTATCAGCTAAGAAAGCAGGCTGCTCAAAACTTTATGATTACAGGAATTATTCCAATAAAATATTGTCTCTTATTTAACAGTTCTAGTCAGCTACTGTTGTACCAATGATCTGAGTAATACATGTTTAAAGAATGGCAAACAATACATTTGTAAAGAAGTTGGAGGGTCACTATATATTTCCACAAACTGTATTAGTGAGATGAGACTGCTGTAAATAGGGAAGTTTTCTGTATTACTCTTCCTCTTGTAATATAACTGGGTGCACTTTTAGACAATCATAATTCTTCCAGAGAAATGGGAGTGACATTAAAACACCACCTGTATGGAATTTCTTTTAAAGTTTTCTGTTCTTTTTAGCCATTCATGTCAAAATTCTTTTCCTGAGTTTTCTTCCAGGCACAGCCATTCAGGACATGCCCATCTCTACTCTGAATTTCAAGCAAGTCTTGCCATTCAGCCAACAGTTTCCTGAGAGCAATGCTTTTTGTTCTGGTGCAAGTTCCTTTACACCCCTTTCTTCTATTGTTTCTCTCTGTTTTCTTCCAAGACTTACCCGAATCTTTCCAAGTTAGTTCTCCTACACAATGCAATTTGGTAATTTCTTTTAAACGATCTCAGAGCCATTTAGCCATTCAAATGGCAGAGTTTGTTCCTACTTGTTTGCCTACATACAGCTAAATACAGATATGACAAATGTATTGACAGTTTTAGCATGTTTCATCATGAATCTTTGTAGCAGTTCAATATCTAAAATATAATTTTGTGTATTCTACTTATGATTTTATTTCTATTTGGCAATGATCATGCCATGTCATCTTCCTTTTCCTTAGACACCAGTTAGAAAGTCTTTTTGTCATTCTCTTGTTTTTTTTCCCCTAGCCAAACTTAAACCAGTTCTTCCAAAAGCTGACCAAACTGGCAGGAACTTAGAACTAACTCCTGTAAATTATTTGCAATCATCAGTAAAACACATTGCTGTCTCCTACAGTCTGCAAATAAACCACAGCAATTAAGTGAAATTTAAATCTGGAAGGTCATTATTAAAAAAATAAAGTGAAGTCTTGCTAAGCCTGTCTAAGAATAACACTGTAAAATTGTAGTTATTTTATTCTCACCAAACAATTTTTCTATCAAGCATGCCTGCTTTATAACCTCTTAGCAAGTGCTATTCTGTGTTTGTGAGCATCACCAAGAACAAAATCCCCCATCCGGTAAGATCGTAAATGTCTACATCATTCACCGAGAACTCTTAACATGAAGTAGCACAAAAGTGAAAACTAAAGATGCAAGTAGTTGAGCATCTTCAAAACACCGATTCAGTTGCTAAGCAGTTGCATTTTCGTTACTATTAAACCAAAACTCCTTCTTAAAAGTGACAATACAGATTAACTCATTTTGAAGGTTTTACAATGTAATTAAGACTATCAAAACATTAACTTATGCTGTCTACACTCAAGGCTAACTTGGATTAAAGCAAAACAGGCTTTTTCTAAATACTTCTGCCAAATACTTGTACACACGTGCAGGGAAATCTCAAATCTGGCAAAGAATTCAAGAATCTAGTTTTCTGGCTCAATACCACAGCCGTATGTTTTTGCAATAATCACTTGCAGAGAAACAGCAGGCATTGTCACATCATCATACACTTTTCAAAGCCAGAATACCATTAAAAAGCTGATCATATTATCACAGTTTTTATTTCAGGCCATTTGCAAACTTAGACATGCAACACCAAAGTGCTTAGATTTGCTGGAAATGAAAGAGAGTTGTTCAGAAGTCAAGAATTTTATTTGAATTGAAAATTCAGATTCCAGATCCACTTCTACAACAAGAACTACTTCATGGCATTCACTACGGCCAGTGTATCACAAATGCACTAGATTTCAATTACAGGAAATACTCTGAATAGTGCGAATACTGTGAATAGTGCAAATAACTGCGGTTATGCAACTGCATATACTTTGGTTATCTAAGGCAACTGCCAACTTCAAGAGTCACCACGAAGGTACGTATTCCCAAACTTTCTCAGCATAGTTAATTTCATTTCAGTAAATATATTTAAAGTAAGTGTATTTAATGTGCACGATACTGAGAGTTACCATATATTCATGAGTGCAAACTGCTTTCCCCAGACACCTCAATACCACATCTGTCCTTTCTTCGTTTATATGACTTGGTCAGCCCTATTGGACACCCAGTGCGGCAACTCTTGCGGTGAAGGCTCCTTGTCTCGTTTTGAAACAATGAATTCCCTATGCTTTGGTTTATACAGTTACTTTTTCGTCCAGTTAATGACAGTCAAAATGTTTTTATCTAAATTGGATTTGTCTCCTCATATATCTCAAAAGAATGCATTCTTAAATATGCTAACACTACATGGGAAGATGCCACGACAGGGTTTTCTTCTACAGCTCATATGCAAAAGGACTATTTCTATACCACTTACTTCCATATGTTTGACAGTAAATTAAGCAGTATCAAATTCATATTAAACTGTATTGTGATTTATGCTTTTGAAAAATGTAATGAAGTTTACTTGGTTTGCAGAACTCTTGGGATTTACCGCAAATTCAGTGAATATGCTGCGACTACCCAGCCTGCGTGTGATCATCCATATGATGCCTACACCAAAAGCCTTTCTGTAGAGGCAGCAAATCACCCTCTATAGCACGGTGCATGCAACAAATCCAGCTGAGACCTTTCTAGAAACTGATTACATCTATTACTTCAAGTACAACCGAAAACCTAACCCAGTCCTGGCTGTCCCCAGGGGATTAAGAAAACATACAAACTGCCATCTATGACATCTCACAAAGGGATTAAACCTGGCTCATTCATTTAAAGCATTCTTTCCCTCTAAATGGTTAAGGAGCCCCTACTTCCAGGCACAATAAGCCCCCAGCTCATATTCATTTCTATTTGGTCAGCCTGCATAAAGGAAGAGGACAGTTATTTCCCTCCTTAGCATTCCCATGCTTATACATCAATGCTGTTTGATCTATGGTTTTCAACCTATCATATATTCTTTAGTTGCCTGCCACCCCTTTTGCTTCTTTCTAATCTCTGATCAGTGTCTGTACCCCCATTTGTAATAACACTGCCTTTAGTCACAGGAAAAAAAAACAACAAAAACCAAACCAAACCAAACTGAACAACCTCCCCCCAAACCAGGAAAAAACCTCCAACATTAAGGGGCTGCTTTGTTTACTGCTTTGTCTTTCACCTGGGAATACCATAGGGGGAACTCTGAGTTTCTCTGGGTCAATGGGGACCAAAGAAGCTATATTGACTGCATAAACAAGATGACAAGATCTTCAAGCAGTTGGAGGAGAAGTAGAATTATAGTACAGGATTTCCAAAAATTTATCTTCCCTAACCTTCGATTAAAGCAATTGCAAATGAGCATTTTCCCAAATACAGCAAGGGCCATTCCCCATTAATTCAGCATATATTTACAGAAACACTTGAAGGAAAACTAGCTAGTTAAAGCCTTTCATGTTTTTATATAGTGGAAATACTGAAAGATTAAGTAATAATGGGCATCTGCATATCTGCATTTTTTAGGTTCTGTTAACCAGTGGGAGACACATTTCCAACTTTAGTAAAGGCTTCCTTTAATTTCTTTTAATTACAACAGGCGTACGAACAGTTGAGGATATTTCAAATACAGCTGTAAAACACTGCAGGGTGTGGTGCTCTTATGAAATCAAGACACAGGCATGAAATCTTGACTTTTTTTTTTTGAATATTTCTTTACCAAGTAATGGCGCCAACCTGGATTCTGCAACCCTACATAAATCACTGCCAGTTGTGGCTAAGCTGTAATGTTAACCAACCAATTTAAAACCATTACTGACATAGAAACATGTATTTAGAGATTTTGTGCCAACTATGAAACCACACAGTTTTTCAATCATGTGAACAGGATACTCTATATGGAATGCTAAATACTAAAAGCCACATTGGTTTTTGGGGTTACCTTTCTTGATTGCTCAGTTTGGCATAGAGGGCTTCTACCAACTCTGGACATTTCAGCAAATAGTCTGTAACAATCATGAACCTAAAGAGGGGGGGGAAAAAAAAAAAGGTGTTACTGGTGCTACAAAACTCAGCATCTACATTTACTCCAAATGGCATCAGTTATTTTATCCTGTTGATGACTGGGTTACGTGCTTCCGGTCCTCCTTGCTAACGGATAGCAATTGTCACAAAATAATTGCGTGTTGTCCTGCAGCATCTTTCCTAACACAGCAATGGTCATTTCCCATCAATTCAGCACACTCAAATGCTTGAAGGAAAGCTAGTTAGGGTCTCTTGCCAGTTAGGCACACCACAATTTAAATAAAACACTCATCTAATTGTTTATGCATATCAGAAAAAAAAAAATAATCAAAGTTCAAGCTTGAAAACTAGTATACTACTCTTCACAACACTATTTTATGTGCACCAAACAGTCAAAAAAATGCCCAAATAATTTCTTATTTAAAAAATTCTAGCAAAACATCAAACCAAATGGAAACTTCTTTGTCAGATGTAAGGCAGAAAAATGCTGTTCTCAACTTATAAAAATATAGCCTTGTCTCCTTTTGTAATGGAACCTAAGCTGATAACCAAATCTAACTCTTTGCTCTATGAGGCACAGAGGTATGGTCAGCCTAGCCTTACCCCACCACCAGTATTTACAGTGATCAATTTCCCAAGAACCATTCACAGCGGTCAATAGCAAATGCTAGTCATTTATTTTCAACACAGACATGTACCTTTAGCATTATGGGAACAACAAAGTATGTAAAAATATTTTACTCTTCAAAATACACTCCTAGGAGTACTGACAGCATTATATATGCTGCACAGGTATATGCATACTAAACAACGCATTTTCAAAGCGGCATGTCTACCTATTAAATATAAATACAGGTCAGATCTCAGAGCATCCTCTGAGCTGATTAAACTACTGAAAAGATATAGCTAAAATAATACGAAAACCAAGTGATTTCAATATTCCCTCCACTTTCTCCCTACTTTTCACTTTGCTGACAGCCTTTTATTTTCTGTATCCATAACCCACTACACAGCTAACAGGAAGATCACATAGAAGAGTTCCAGCTGCAGTGAAGTATTTTTTGGATGAATACTCAATGACAATTGGGGAAACAGGAGAAGAAGAGGTCCAAAAGACTAATAGCTATTATATTTTTAACGGTAACTGCGGACTTAGCCAGCATCTGGTTCAGTTACTGTAAACTAGACATTTTTAAGAGAAGGAGGGATAATAAAAGCTGTTTTATGATGTTCTTTTTTCTTAACTGATATTTGTACACACTTTCAAGGAAAAAGAAAAAAAGTACAGGCATAGGGAATCATTAACATAAAATTGGCATTCTGAGCAGTGTAGTACTGATTCAAGAGTTTCTCAACACAAATTTGGACTTGCAGACTTCCCCAAAGTCAAAAGCACAAAAGTATTCCAACTGAGCAGCACACACTCAGCCATAGCAACTGAATCAAGCCATCAGCAGGGTAGTCAAGTCGAACGCTTCTGCAGTTCCTGAACCAACAATTCATTGCATACAAGCCATCCACAGTTCAACCTTCAGAATGATAACAACTGACTTTTATTTTTCAAAGATTTGAGTATAAGCAAAAGCTTTTATCTGGACACGTAAAAGAAAAAAGCATAATAATCAGAGCTGTGCAGAACATAGTACTTAGCCTCATATATTATAAATTTCAGCTGACAATGAAGTATGGAGAAAGTGCATATAAGGAGACAATCTAAACCTCAGTTTTTCAATCTTGCAGTTCAGACTAAGAATTTCAACCTTAATTTTCATAACTTTATTTAGAGGAAATCTTCTTGTCCATTTGCCTTGCAGTTAAAAAGGGATCAGTAATTATCTCAAAAAAAACTAGTGCTACTAGGTGCACATTAGTGATTACTATTGCAAAGAAGACAACCTGTATTTTAGTTGTTACTTGGGTCTACATTCTTGCATTTATTCACGCACATATTTCACGTTCTGTGGATTAGACTTCTACTGCTTGAGGAGCTTGCAGTATTTCAGAATAAAGTTTCTGCTTATAAAGGAGCATAGACTTCTCTGTGTGCTCCTTACCCTTTTATTTCATGACATGATGTTACACCTCAGAAATTTTGCTTCTGCATTTATGTTTCTCTTTCATCTTAGCAACTTACCTCATCACTGCATGATGAAGAATAGAGCAGTAGCATATTGTAAAAGACCATCACCAAGAGATAACAGAAGAATTAGTAAAGGAGTAAAGCACTTTCAACTCTTGCTACCATGGCCAGAAATTCTGGTGGTAGCTAAGCAAGGATGCAGAAAATTAAATCTACTGTCTTTAGTCCTCAGCTCTCCTGTTTTTCATTTAAGGCAGAGGAAAAGAAGAAAAGTAGGCCATCCACAACTCTGAACTAAAAGAAGACATTCAGTTTTGGGTTACTGACTGAATATGGCATGTCAGATGCACACAAAAAGCTTTGGTAGGAGATTTAAACTTTCTTTGGAGCCAACAGCAGAACTACTGGGATAAACTGAGGACCATAGTAATTTAGTGAAGGAAATGGTGAAAATTAAAGTTGTTATGCAAGCGTAACACAGTAACAAATGAACAGTGTTAAATATGCCAATTTTCTTGACTTTTAAGAAATTGTCTGGCTAAAAACCTAAAAAAAATCAAGTGCTTACATAGTAGGTAAATACAGGAGGAGATGTTCAGTTCAAAGACTTCACAATAGCACAAGGGCTGCATTGTACCAAACTGAACTTGAGAAGCAGCCAAGATGAAATGGTATGAGCTACATTTGTGCTCAGTTTATTCCAAATGACCACTAAGCTTGCTACAATCAAAGCCTGGTGTAAGCAATCAACTTTATCATCAAATGTAATACTCCATATTAAGTTAATTTGATCCCATTAGCAAGTTTTGAGAAGTGTCCTTGGTCTCAGAATATGAAGAAAACCCCCACAAATTTTTTAGAAGAAAGAAAAACACATGGTGATTCTCTATTTGAACAGCAAACTTCTCTTCCAATCTCAAAACCAAACATATTTTTCACCATCCTACAATAATGCCACTCTATCCAAAATACTTAGTAAGAATAAAAAAGCCATTTTTGTAGTTTCAGAAACAAATGTCACAAATCATACAAATTTTGAAGTAAAAAACCCACCACAATTTAGATACCTAACCTTTCAAAGCCATACTGCCTGCGTTTTAAGATGCCAAAAAAGCAATATGCCTTATGCAGAATTGTTTGGGACTAGAACATACTTCAGAAACAGATATATTTTGGTACTTCCACAAGAATGCAAGCAGTTTATCAAAACTATTTAAAAAACAATTACAAGTACAAAGCTATTTATTAAACACTGGAATACATGTGTTGTCACAAAGACCTCTAGAAACTAGGAAATTCACCCTACTTGAACACCAGCACTCCTCGCTCAAAAGAATAAGGAAACACATTTCCATGTTTAAATGGATACCCATATATCACGCATTACAATAGTTCTCTCCTGAGCTGAATCAAGCAAAACAGTGAACATCCTTCCATCTTCAAAAGGCATTACCCATAATGAATGCATCTTCCTTACAGGCCCTGATACTGTCCACCAACTAAATTCTCAGGTCTAGAAAACTGAGTTCAGATTACCTGTAATATTTTGCTGATTCAGAGGACAATCCCATTCAGTTCAAAAGGCAGTAGAAGACTTATTTTTATTTATGTGTGAAGTGCAAATAATTATATTTTTTTGAAGAGCTACCGGGGGGGGGGGGGGGGAAGGAAAATGATTTCCTGCTTCCCCCATCCATAAAATATGCAAGAAGAAAGAGGTGACAAGATAAATAAATATGTAAGGCTGGGCTTTGAAAGACTGAGGAAATCTGTGCCAGTACACTGCAATTGCAAAGAGAAAGTAGAAGCTACTCAGATCTCTACAATTAAAGAAACTTTTCCAATTGTCAGTATTATTTAAAACCACAGTTGAACTTGGAACCTGCAATGTAACTCCAATTTTCCTGGAATTAAAAATAAGAATTACTTTCTGGAGGGTAGAAGAAGGGGGCAGGGGACACCCTAAATTGTCAGAGTGAAGAGACAGAGTTGCCAGCCCAAAATGAAAAAGAAAAATAAAGAAAATGGAAAAAAAAGTAACATTTTCTGTTTTCTCCACCACATGCATACCAATTAAGCAACAAGCACTCCACTGAGGAGTTCCATCTTTGCTTTTAAATCTGTGCCCATGGGCGAGACTCCTTGCCACAGGAGAACTAGTTTCTGTCCACACTTCTTTCCACTTTCCATAAACCAGGACAAAATAACCAAAGGCAAAAAATGGGGAGGGGGAGCCCCACAGCCTAATCTTTACAGTCATCATTGAGCTGTGGTTTCCAAAAGAGAAAGTGGATGTTCAGAAAATCTTACTTCCTATGCCAAACAGTTGACCACACTCTTAATATCGTTTTTCTGGAAGCCAAAAGGCGTATTATGCCTCTTATTTTAAAATGGAGGATTTCTGTTCCTTGCTCTTCAGGAATCAAAAATACAACCTGCTTTTCCTTTCCATAGTAGCAACACTGCCCCATGCACACACTTGGAAAAACTGATGACACAAGCTATACTCTCATCTCTAATGGAACCACCAAAGTATTTCTTAAATAAACAGCTTTTAGAATACACATTGGTCTCGGTTAAGATAAATTATAATGTAATTTTGTACTACTTTTTCCTAATTATTTTACAAAACACATATGTTTGCAGGTTCAATATTCTAAAATAGATCTCGTGGCATTCTGTGCCGGTTTCTCTTCTAAATACAGTAGCTTCTAAACTGTGTGACACACTTTTCTGCTGTTGATTAATACAAATCCAAAAGGGAGTGGATGTGTGGGAAATGTAGAGAAATGACTTTTTAAAGGCTTCACAATTTTCCAGAGCCTAAGGCATAGCTCTCTGCATGTTTTAAGGAAAAGCTTTTAGTGGGAAAAAAAAAAAAAAATTAATTAATGGCAGTGCTTGGAAAGCCTTTTCAG